AATTGAAAGGACATTGGAGGCAACAGGCAATGTACCCCTCCTTCCTCCTCTTTTCTTCATTGAAGCGGCTAATCTGAATTCTCCATTGAAGCGAGTTGAGAGCCTTGGCTCCTCCCTTGAAGCGGCGGCTTGTTAATATTCTATCCTCAATTAAAGTGTAGGTGAGATGTATTTCTTAATCATCGTATATCTGTTTCACAATCTATCTTTGATCGTTAGTTTAATTCAATTTAGGGTGTACTAAGGTAGATTGATTGTTGAGCTATTGGTTATGGATTAATTACTGTAATGCTAAGAATTTAACTTGATAACGGAGTCAAATGTGGTTTCAATGTGATGCGAAACCCTTGAATATTAGATGAATATGGAATTTTCTTCTTGGATCAGATTGATTATTGAATTATTTGCTGCATGTTAATAGTGTAAAATATGTGCTTTTCTTTTTCTTTTGTTATTCAAAATCTTCAGTTATTTGTATATTGGTAAAGTTAGATCTTGATTTTTTTTTTTTTTTCATATCATTATAAATTAAAATCTGATTATAATCTATAAATATGTCCAGTCTTAATTGGCATCTTGTCCTAATTAAGCACAGTTGCGGAAGTAACTTTTTTTTCTTTACCTTTCTAATAGTTGTGCCATTCTCATCAATTCACTGCAGACTTTTAAGATATGATGCACTTGTCAAATGATTGATTTGAAATAGCTCTCGTTTTAGTTCTGCTTTACATCTATCCATGGTAATTTATTGTAAAACATTGAAACCTGAAATAAGCATGCTATCCACTGATATAGTTAAGATTGGGAAAGCTTTGATGGTTTTCGAAAAACGTTATCTTACCATTTTTTCTTAACGAGTTAACATCTTCTTCCTATAGTATACTAGTGACTCTCGTATTCCTATAGTAGAAAAAATTAAAGCATATTCATGTGTTTTAATCATTTTTCCTTTACCTCCCTCAAGCAAGCAGGATATTAAATTCGTTTGGGTATTGAGATTGAGCTGGTTGGTTCCACAATATGCACATTTGACTATAGCATTGCAGCCATTTTATTATTTGAGTGTTAAATTTTGTCTTTTGTGATTTATGTATGTGGATGAGGATTTTTCATGCTTTGTTGATTACTACACGGAATAACCACTTTTGGTTCATGTAGCCGACCCCACTTATGGGATTAAGACTTTGATTGATTGTTGATGAACTAACAGTTCCATGTTTGATTTGCATTTAAATTGTGAAGTATGTCATGCAAGGGTCACCCATACTATAAATACACAAAAAGAGAAAAAAAAAATTTATGCAATTTTTTGTTATTTTATATAGTTCTTAAATATCTAAAAGATGAATTTTTTGATGAATGTCGTTGTAATATTGCTGTCGTGCTTGTGTTCTGTAGTTATCTAATCAAGGATGGTTGTCAAGTTTGAGGTAGATTTAAACGAGCCATTGGTTTTCCAGGTATGATTTTATCACTTATTTACTTGTAATAGCTGGGTAATAACTCTGCAAGACCTGATCTTTTGTTTACCATGTCCTTTTCTTAGTTGTTGCATCCGTGTCACCTGGTTTAGCAGCTTATTCTACTTTCTTGTATGATAATTTTATGCCACGTTTGTCATTAGTTTGCTCTTCCTTTCAAAAGTTAATGAAATCTCATCATATCTATGTTATATACACGCTTCCTTTTCAGCTCCTATAATCAGATGCTATTTTTTGTCTTCTTTCATACTCATGATTCCCCTCTTTCTCTTCTTGATTATGTTATTTTCTCTCCTATACTTCTTCATTTTTAATTACTACCTCCGTTATATATTAGTTGCAACTTTGAGTATTATTTGTGAGAGATAAAATATTCCAAAGTTGCAACTAATATGTAACGGAGGTAGTAGCATGGTGTAAAAACTCGGCCGTTACGTCGCGAATCGGTTGAGATGTAACGGATTTCAGTTGCCGATCCGATATTTCCCGATGCATAACGCTGCTTTTTGAAACTCCGAGATTTCGGCCAGTACGACCGTTTTAAGCTGAAAATCGGCCGCATCTAACGTTATTTACCGAGATTCGAAGAAAAAAATCGCAAACTTTAAGCTTTAAAACCACTTTTCCGGCGAGATCTCCATGAAAGACGACTTTGTTACTGGCAAATAAAAGCGATTTTTTTATTTTTTTTGAGAAAATTGGAGTGGTTAGGTAATAAAGTATGACAGCTGGATGCCTAGAATATTCTTTAGTTTCTTTTACAGTAATTTTTATCTTGACCCCACCATGCACCATCTGACTTTACCCCTTCTCTTCCCCTTTGTCTTTATCTTTTTTCTTTCCCACGTGGCTCCCAACCCCTTATTACACATTCACCTTTAGTCTAGAGTTAAGTCCATATTTTATTTTTATTTTTATTCTTATTTTTTAAGAAAAGTCCATTTTTTTAATTATTTTTTTTTAAGAATACATAAAACTTAAAAATGAAATAAAATAAAATTCTTGCGCGACAACCTCGATCAACGCATCAAGCCCGTTACCGAATTACCGTGACCGTTTCCGCGATTGCGACCGAAACCGCATTTTCAAACCATGGGTAGTAGTTGACACATTTTGACTTTGGTACAATACACATAAGCTACTTTGACTTCATTTTTTAATTTATACTAATGCAAAAAAATGGTCATGTAGGGTCTTGTTAGATTCGTCTCAAAGTATATTTTTCAAATATCTGATTTTTATAGTTTTTGCATATTAATAATGGAATATATTGATGTTTTAGATAATACAATGGAAAACGTGCTTAAAGAAACATGTCAACTAATATGAAATGGAGGAGTTATTGTTACTAGTAATATAATACATCTAGCGTTGCAGGTTGGCCATCTTGGAGAAGCTTATGATGAATGGGTTCATCAACCTATTGTCAGCAAGGAGGGCCCTCGGTTTTTTGCAAATGATAATTTGGAGGTAAATCAATTATGTGTACTACTCGTGCTTAATTTTAACTCATAAACTTTGCTATTGGTCCCTTAACGGCAATTAATTGTTGCCTGTTTGGTAGTTCACTTTGTTTTTATAGTCAAGCAATAGTAGGTGTTTTTATTGGTTGTTTTATGGAGCTGTTATCATTTTCTGTTAATATAGAAGTTCATATTCGACTTTTGGCTCTTAGTTATAATATGTGAATTTAATTATTATCTTAGTATTTTTTTTTTCCATATTTTATTTTGTGATGTAAAGCTGTAATTTTTTTTTTTTTGCTTTTGTCAGCTTTTAATTTTGGAAACATGTTGAAAGGTGAATACCATATTATTGGGTATTTGGGTGTTGACATGACTTTTAATTTTGGTGTTTGACCATATTATTAAGTTGAAAAGCGAATACTGATCAAAACTTCAGCCAAAAGCCATTGGTCAAACATGGCCTTTTTGTGGAACTTTTCCCAAAAATATATCTGTGGTGTTTGATTCAACTAGTTTGCTAGAATTCCAATGTCTAGATGGCTATCAAGCTAGAGAAGTCACATCTCATGGACCTCATACCAATCCGAATGATGAATGTACATAAGGCTGAAAATATATAAATTGAATGAAAAGATTTTAGAGTCAAATAGGTCTATACAACTAAGTAAACCCTGTTTAGATGGTTAGTGTTGAAGGCTCTTCTTTGCAATATGATACTGATTAGAGTTGGTTGGTAGGCATATACTTTAAAAACTTTAGAGGAAGTTTTATGCTATGGACTGATAATTTGACTTGTATTTCTGATTTAATTAGACTAATGCATAAAGATTAAGGCTTGAGACTTTGATTAATAATGGCAGAAATTTGGGTACAAAGTGATAGATTAATAGCTTAAAGGCTATTACTCCCTTGATAACCTTAGGTTATCACTCTCCTAGTAACTTGAGGTTACTACTCTCAACATTTTTCCTCACATTCACATGATATCCTAGTGCATATACTATCCCCTATTTATACTAAGGCCAAGGAGTCAAGGACTACTAACCTAATAGTATTAGACTACCCAAAATGCCCTTCCTAATGTTGGTCTATTACATTACCGGCCCCCTAAACTTCTACCTTGTTCTCAAGGTGGATAATAATGAGATGCTAAAGCTCGGCATTGGTACTGAAGGTCATCATGCCACCACTCAAGGCTTCCGAAACAAGGCAAAAATTGCAGATTGTGTTGTAAAATGTAGGGGTTGCAGGTTTTGGGTCATGTAGGAGGGAAAATTGAAAATTTGAGAAATAGGGAACTTGAAAAATAGGGAAAATACTGGTAACGAATATTGTTGGCTGGGGGTCGATCTCTTTTCTCTTAAGTGGGCTGAAAGTATGTAGATTCAAGAAATAGGGAAAATATTGTTGTTTCAAAAGTGGGGTCAGCCTATTTGGACTGGTGCATGGTTGAGTAATGGGCTGATGGTTGGGTTTGATTGCTGGTGAGGTCAATGTGGGCCTAGTCTGAAAGGGCATGCCGGAAGGTCTTGATTCACTATTTGTAGATGCAATTGGATTTGCCAGGGAAGACCTAGGCACGTGCCCCATGTTCTCATAGTTGATGGTGGCCATACTTGCTTGGTCATCAGTCCACATATTTTCAAAATTAGTCCATGTTTGTATTACTGAGTCACCATATTTTGCCACATGCCCTACATTCCAATTCCTCATCATGACCCATTTACCCTAACTAACATATTCTATCACCGGCTTCCTCTTCAAGCTAAAGTTTGGCTCAGTCAAATTCCTCGTTTGGAACCTACCAAATATCCACCACTCATGAAGTTCTCCACCCCCACCACTTGCAAAGTACCCTAGTTCATTTACGACCAAGACACCATCGCCGTTAAAGCCACTTCAAAAGTCACACCCCCTTCTTGCAACCATCCATGGTGACGACTCACTGGTAATCTCGCCTCCACCTACGCCGCTTCTTCCATCGCTGCTCTTGCACCTTGCACCATCTTTTTTTCCAGCGACCCAGACCACCACCTGATCCGCTCATCACAAAGCTTGCGCCTTCTCTGTTAGTCCACTACTAGCGGTGGCCTTACAACCATGCTCACCATTTCCGCCAAGTAATCCTGGACCACCGCCGGATCCACTTTCACCGGCACCTTCTCTCTCGAATTTTGCTCCCGGTGACCCACTTGAGACACCACTAAGTTTCCTTCTCCATCTCCCCCCCTAAATTCGGTGCGAACACCACTAGCAAGACCACGAAACCCACCACCAGATTCACCGGCAAAGTTACCTTGACCTCCACCCTTAAACCCGTCTCCAAATTCTCCCAATTTCACGAGCTCTTGATGCATACAACGGCTACCTTCCCTAACCCCAGTCCGTCCTTCATGAACCTCATGTACTTGGTTCGCCGGAGTTCGCACCCTTTTACCACCACCATCTTGGCTGTGCTCTTCCTCGAGGTTGACAAACGATGGGTTTAGACTCGCTTGTATCCTGGCCGCCTTGGCTTTGACTTGCTTGAATTTCCTCAGCCCTCTTTCTTTCCGCCGCCATAGCTTTGACGACTGCGGACTTCACCACCACCCTAAGGGACTCCTCTTCACGCTTCTTCCTCAACGCCTCAAAGTAATCAGCTATTGCACATTGAGCAGCCTCTGCCACGCGATCGAAGGCTGCTGTTATGGCTGCCTGAACAACCCTTTTTTTTACAAAAAAAAAAAAAATAAAAAAATAATTGAGTGGCAGTTTCCGGCAGCGGAAGGCCCAAGACACCGCTCTGATACCAATTTGTTATGGACTGATAATCTGACTTGTATTTCTGATTTAATTAGACTAATACATAAAGATCAAAGCTTGAAACTTTGATTAATAATGGCAGAAATTTGGGTGCGAAGTGATAGATTAATAGCTTAAGGCTATTACTCTCTTGATAACTTTAGGTTATCACTCTCCTAGTTACTACTCTCAACATTTTTCCTCACAATTCACATGGTATCATAGTGCATATACTCTCCCCTATTTATACTAAGGCCAAGGAGTTAGCAGAAATTTGGGTACAAAGTGATAGATTAATATTTTAAGGCTATTACTCTCTTGATAACTTTAGGTTATCACTCTCCTAGTAACTTGAGGTTACTACTCTCAACATTTTTCCTCACAGTTCACATGATATCCTAGTGCATATACTCTCCCCTATTTATACTAAGGCGAAGGACTCAAGGACTACTAACTTAAAAGTATTAGACTACCCAAAATGCCCTTGTTGAATATAGGTTCCATTAAATCTTCTTCATTATTTTCCGCCCTTTTTAAAAATTGTGCCATGAGCAAGTAAGTTGAGATAGAGCGAGTGTTAGTTTCCTGCTTGTTTCCGTTAAACTTAGAACCGGCTTTTAAGTTCTATTAGCAATACCTTTCCTTTTGAATTCACTCGTTCCTATGCTTTGTGATCCAGTACGTTGACCATCCTTGGAGCCGGAGTATATTTTTGTATTTTATGAATGCTCTTCTTTCCTAAAAACTCTTTAGATTCCATATTTGGTGTGCAGCTTTAAAACTCTTCTAATTTTTTTATTTTTTTTAAAACTTGGATTTAGGTTTGTTAAATTAGAAAGATGATGGCTTTATTGTCACGCAAAAAATATAACTTACCTGCTTACCCAATGAAATTAATTATTAAGCATCATTTTGTCTCTATTTTGGTTAGTGAGTCAAGGATCTAGCAATGTGGCATACACATCTTGGCGTTTACATGGTATCTCCAATATTTATCTTTCTTTTGGACATTTTGTCTCTTACAAAATTAATATATTATGACATGTTATTGTTATTTGGATGACTTAAACCTGATATGAAATTCAATTGAAGATCTCTTTAAAGATTTCATAGTTATTATAAAACAGATTGTCATTGCTATTTTGTGGCTATCATTTTTTAAGTACTTGTGTTGTACAATTAATAGCATGAATTAAAGATACACCAGCAATAGTGTTATACTGTTATGTAATGTTTTTTATAGCAGCAATGTGATGCATGATCTCTTACCTAAATATTGTCTTATGTGAAATAGATTTTAACTCGCACTAAGTGGTGGGTGATTCCGCTGGTATGGCTACCAGTCGCGTGCTGGCTTGTTTACGTATCTATGCAGAGGGGCCTTACCCCTAATCAAGCAGCAGCAGCATTAGTCTCTGGTATCGTCCTTTGGTCACTGATGGAGTATAGTTTGCACAGATTTCTGTTTCACATAAAAACACAAAGTTACTGGTTAGCTCTCTCTCTATCTCTCTCTCTCTCATGGTATGTGTGGTTCCCCCCTTCAACCCTAATTTGCTTATATAAGCTTCGCATAATTGCTTTTATGATTTCTACGTTGGGATTCGATACTCTAATTCAAAGTTGGTGAAAGTAATGCAATAATGAAACCACAATTTTATTGGTACTAAGGATGCACGTTATTGCTTTAGTGATCCTTTTATATGGCATGGAACTTTCGTTAGATGACTTCCCAGTGAACTTGATTGGTAAGGATTGGGAATTCCTAGGGAATTAGAATCTGTATTACCTTCCTTTTCGCATGCTAAAGTCCTTGACTTGTGTAGTTGCCCATGATCTCCACTGATATAGTATAGGGCTATAGGCTGGCTTAATAATCAAATAGTAGGAGTGATTGGATGACTGGATGAGAACAAGGTTGCTACTTGTAAAAGTTGCAATTATTTGATTGAGGTCGTTGAGCATAATGCTGGATATTTCAAATTTTAAAGAATTTCGGCTTGTTTGTCTCTTTTAGTATTATCATTGCATCACTTATTTTACCTAATTTCTATGCAATTTGTCACTAGCAGTTTATTTGTAGTAGATTTTCATGCAACAACTGTGTGTGTGTGTGTTTCCCCCCTTATTATTCAATTTTTTGGCTTAAAGTGGCAACATTTTCCTTAAATTTAATAGTATGAAATAAGATTCATCTAATTGTCCAATTAGAAACCACATTAAAATTGGGACAAGAAACACATAATCTGACATGTGAATTACGACAAAAATTTGGTAATAGTAATTTGATACACATCTGTTTGACACAACCAGAAATTTAACACTTTCTCCAATTATATTTTTATTTTTATTTATTTATTTATTTACTTTTATTTTTTCCTTTTGGCACATTTGGACCTTTACACTATTCACACTGTCCTTTGATCGTACATTGTAATTTTTTACGTTAAAAAAAAAACATTTATGTAATATCTTGCTAGAATGGTCTCAATATGTACTTTCAAAATATCAACTATTTGTAATCTATACTAGAAGATAATCAAAGATATTCACTATTATATTTATGCATCGTTAAGCTCATAACTCCAAGTGATGCAATCACAAAAGCACCGAGGAAGTATTATTATAAATATTATTATTAGTTTTTTTTAATAAACTAAGTGACCCTACCTCAATCTTATATGACCTTACCCAAAGTTGAACTGGGTGACTCAGAGATCATTCAAGGTTCTTGATTCAAATCATTTAATTTAAAATCAATCAACTACTTTATCACTTTAGATTCAAATGACACCTGCTCTTAATTGGAATAATCCAGTGTTAAATTGTCTAATGAGTTTGTTTAGGTTACTTAGCTTAAAATGGCATCTTCTCTTAACAAAAATACTCCAGCATTAAATTGTCTAGTAAGTTTGTGTAGGTCGATCTTCAGATTATGAAGGTGTGTCTGTGTCTACATGCGCGTGCTTTTGTGCCCGTGTACGTGGGTTGGTTGGTGTGTGTGTGGGTAAGTGTGTGCACAACCAGTTATTGGCGGTCCCTTTGTCATGTTTTTAAAATCCTGGCGATAAGTATTTCAGCATACCTAGTCACCAAATAAGAGGGGGTGCGGTTTCCGCAATTACTTATAAAGCTTTCTACTGTCCTTCTGCAACAAATGCTCCTTATTAATGATTGGTGTTGGCATGTGTGATCTCCTTGCTTATTTTTCCCTGTTCAATCTTTGGGATAGTATTGAGAGAAGACATCTTATTAGGTTTAATAATGAGATAAGAGAATGAACAATGAAGTGCCAATACACGGGCCTTTGGGGGATAAACTATGCGAAAGAAGAGTAGAAAGAATTAAAAAAAACCCTATTGCTCCCTTAGACTATGAGACCTTGCCATAATGATAAGAAAAGAACAACATAATTCTAAAGTAGCAAAAAACCTTTAATTAATTACTATTAAGCCAAATAATTTTAAGTAACAGGACAAATACCAAATGAAAAAAAGTCAGGCGCAAAAGTCAGCTGCTGCCAATGCCAGTGAGAGGTTGCTAGGCAGAGGGAATCCATATATGTTACTATGCTGGAGGTTTACAGGTGGCATTAACTCCAGTGAGACTCTGAGACCACGCTGACCTATCTTGTTTTCTCTTTTTCTTTTCGATATGCATGAAGGAAGGTCAATAAGAGTAGAGAGGTGAACACTGAGTAGTGCTAGGCTGCATATAAGAAGCCAAAAAGAAAGATTATGAATAACTAATCATTACTTACACCCTTCAACTCGTGTCTTAGTCATGAATTATAAAATTTATATTGTTTTAGGAAATTCTTATAGTGTTTATTTGTAGCCCTTATGGCTACACGTATCATCCCCCCCCCCACCCCCACCCCCACTTGCAGGATTATCGATACGGTTTATATTCAAATAATTTTCTAGTATATCCTAAATGTATGTAGGAAGTTCGCCAATTCTAAAAGTATAATTAAAAAATAGTGATTAGGTGTTATATGACATCTCTAAATCGAGGCATTTTTTTGCACTTCAAAGAATTTTGTCTCTAATCACAGGGTGAGTTCACTAACCCCTAAATTATGCATTTTTAATTCTTTTCTTGGCTATGGGTGGAATTTATTTTATTTTATAAAACTGGATAGGATTGGGAAAAACTTTAATAATGTTCATCTTTTATGGTTTTCATCACGATTATGTAGCATGATCAGATTGTTATACTACTGTGTCAATCTTGCTATGAGTGTCGGGTGCTGGAGATCATCCAAGTGTGAGACATGTTAGAGCGCAAAATATTGGAACAAGGACTTTTTGTAAAATCTGTACATGAATGCATGAACAGATTCTTGATTTCAGAAGACTTTGTGCTTTACACAATACATGTAACTTTTCATGCAATGTAGGTTGTTGAATTCTTAATGTTAGCATACATTGTATAATTTCTTGTATTTTCCATTTTACGAATATTTGGTACAAGATAATTGAAGATTATGATTGGAACTTAAAATATAAAGTAAAGATTTCATATCTTTGTTGGAGTTCTGAGTCAATACAGAGTCAAAGCTCATAGTTTGACAAATGGTTGCAGGGCAAACACCATGCATTATCTTCTTCATGGTTGCCATCACAAACACCCCATGGATGCTCTGCGGCTTGTGTTTCCTCCAGCAGCAACAGCAATTCTCTGCGTACCAGTATGTCTTCTTCATTTTATTTATCGTTGCAAATTTGATATGATACTGAACATATAATGTTAAGTTAATTGTAACATATAAGAGGGTTTTTTGTTTGTTCGGTGTGCGACAATTGTATGGTTAGTTTGACCTTAATGACAGCTTAAAGAATATAAGCTCACGTATGAATTTGGAGATTACAGAATTGAAATTTTAATTGTTATTTATTTTTAACATAGGACTGAAGTAGCTTGTTGAGTCTATGTCATGAGACTTTTCCTCTGTCATGACCTGATGCTAGAAATTTCTAACATGTACTTATATTAATAATCCTCGTATGCCCTATAGGATTAAGTGATCTTTGCCTTAGAAAAGTGATGATTCTACAAAGCCCAACTTTTGATCAAATATATTGGATGCTATATATGCCTGAATTCTTGCTTTTTTACATTCGATTTCCTCAGGAATTTGTGTTGCCGAGAGTTGATGCTGTAACTGTGGAAGGATAACTATACAACTTTTGATTATACTTCTTATATGATGTCTAGGTCATCTCTATTTTTCTGACTAGACTTATTATTATGAATAACTTCTGTATCGGCACAACTTGTGATGATTGGTTAAGGCCTTAAGGGTATTGAAGGGGTGCTTTATAGTAAATGGAATGACAATACTGTCATTGCCCATGAAATCAATATATGCTTTTTGTGTCCAACAATTTTTCTGGTTATGTTGTCTTTTCATTCATTTTAACCTGAAAAACAAAGTGCAAAACCATGATTTTAAGGAAATAAATGAAGAATAAACCTTTTAAAACTAGGGAAAATTCAGTAGTTCAATATCAAGGAAACTATTTACCCTAAATCTTACAGTTATTGGATTTCTTATTGATTGGTACAAGTAGGAAAACATCATGTTAACAAGGAAAGATGATTTTGTAACAGTGTAACAAATTATGCGCAAAGTTTGTGTAGTAGTTAAATTTGTGTCTATTGTGATGAAATAAAAGGGATGAAGACACGTTTCTTTTTTTCTTTTTTCCATACTGATGTTTTCTAATTTGATTTTCAGTTTTGGAGCATAATCAGACTTTTTTCTACTCCATCTATTGCACCTGCTTTATTTGGTGGTGTTTTGCTGGGATATGTAATGTATGATACTACTCATTATTATCTGCACCATGGACAGCCCAGTGCAGGAGTTCCTAAAAAGCTTAAGGTAACAACTTCTGTTGAATTGATGAATGTACTATTGTTGTAATGCGAAATTGTACAATTGGGTTCTAAAATCCATTGTAATTGCAGAAATACCACTTAAATCATCACTTCCGTTCTCAAACAATGGGGTTTGGAATCACATCCTCCTTATGGGATCATGTGTTTGGGACATATCCCCAACCCAAAGTTGTGCGTTGATGATCGTGTTCTAGTTCTTGTGGTGATGTATAGAGATTTTTTGTAAAGACTGAGGAATTACCGAGATTAATTTCCATCCAGAGGCCTGGCTTGTAGAGTTTCTTACTTCCCATTTACATGCTCTTAATCTTTGCAACACTTCCTGATTTCATGATTTGGATGCCTGTTATCTGTAAAGTAGTAACCATTAAAAGTTTAAATTACTATGGTTGGTATGACTAAATTCTCATTTATTAATATTTCTCTTTAAAAAATAATATCATAAATTGAATGGTTTAGTAGCTAAAACTGTAATACATAAACTTTGGTCAAGAGATCAAATATTATACAAATAATATTGTTTTCAATGTTCAATACTAAAAGGTAAAATTGTAATTGACATGACATATTTACTGGCTATGATTGATTTCTGGCAAAAATAACAATAATTTTATTGTTATGATTCTAGTCACTCCTTCTCGATTGTCCTCTCTTACCCTGTTTTCATGCTTTATACAAGTTGAATAGTTGATCCATGACCACCGAATTTCTCTAATACCGTTAAATATATTAATAAAGGAAAGAAAGTCCAGCTTAAGTTTTCTCTCTAGAAATAGGGAGCTTCTCACTCTAGAAATAGAGTTTCACCTCTCCTAGAGGTTTAGTGGTGGTGGCCGTTAAATTTTTTATTTAGAATATCAATTCTAATCATTACACTTTTCTGAGGTATATTTTGTCTACGGTAATTTTTCTCTAGCTTGTTTCCCCTGTGCTGCCACTTGGCATTTCTTGTTGGTGCCTTATAGAAAGGCCAATGGCTTTCTACTTATCAATCATTGCTTTCTAAACGGCAGTAAACTCTTTCTCTTTACCTCCGTTACCATTAGCAGGGTCTCCGTTATTTTCTGGCACTAAGTGCATAACAGTGTTCCGTTTCCAAACAGTGTTCTAGTTTTTTTTTTTTTTTTTTTTTTTCTAACAGTGTTAATTTTAATCTTTTTTGGGTTTGCTAACCAACCAATTAACCACGGCAGTAATTTCTCTTTAACCAAAGGTAATCTGCATGGCTTTGTCTCCAGCACTGAGGCAAGAATTCGAATCGCCTCCCTGTTGTGGTGCAGTATAAATGCGACACTACTTTCACAACCATTTCATTCACCAATTTCCTCCTTTTCTCAGCATTTTTCTCACTATTTATTTACTCACCATGAATAACACTCCTTATGCAAGAAGAAACATTAACGGGGCAGCAGCCCTTACTGAAATAGAGCCTAGTAGAGTGAATGGAAGCATGGCATTCTGGAGCTTATGTGTTTATGGTTACCTCATGGACTACCGAACACTAAGCCTTGCTTCAATTCGAACTTTTGTCAACTTCAGATGGAGAAAAAGAGGGTACATTGACGTATTTAAAATGAATGATCTTTACGTCTTCAAATGCTCGAATGAAGAAGACAAAAGGGAGATGCTGGAGATGAAGAAAGCTAACTTCGATGGAGCACTAATGGTTTTTGCTCCGTGGCTGCCAAACCAGGTCCCACATACTGTGAGGTTCAGGCGAGCTAAGTTCTGGGTCAGAATTTGTGGCTTACCTTGTGAGTACTTGAACTCACACATGGCTGAAACAGTGGGGGAGATGCTGGGCATGCCTTTTGAGATTGACTTCGAACCAAGCTTTGTGCCTCGAAACGACTATCTTCGAATTCAAGTCAAGCTCAACCTGGGAGAGCCTCTAATTCCAGGTTTTTTTCCTCAAACTTGATGATGACTATGTTATCTGGATTCAGCTTAGGTATGAGAATATATTTAAATATTGTGTACGTTGTGGTCGAATTGGACATAAGTATAATAGATGTACTAGACATGAAGATCACATTAAACAAGATATTGATCATAGAATGATGCAATACTTGCCGCGGGGAATCCCTACTCTTGAAGCAGAGGAGGGGGTTTTTCTATGTTTAATTTGGATATGAGGGCAACTCCTTCATTTGAACGAACCATAAAAACAAGTGCTAGACTTGTAGAGACTGATCAACCCCCCTCTTCGAACTTTAGAGCTTCAGATATCATGGTTGACTTCGATCTGGGTATCCAGAATGGAGGCAGATCAGTTGGCCCGGTGACAGGTTCAATAGCAGGGGGTGCCTTTTTGGGGCCCAGTGGTTAACCAGGGGGAAGGTCCGACACAAGCAAATAACACGGCCGCAGCCGCGACGATGGAAGTGGAAACTGACGGAGGAGTCCAAGTTAACCCAACGGCTACAAGGGAAGAGCAAATTAATGGCGGATTCAATGAAATTGCTCAAGGAGGCGAAATCGGAGGGGACCCTTACAGGACGGCGGCGACGACTCTCCGATCCATAATGGAAATTCGGAAAATTTGGAATTAGAGATGGTACTGAGGTACGGGCCTGAAATCGAAAGTCTCCGTTTTGATTTGCTCATGAGTTCGGCTATTCAATCAAGGGTGGAACTCATTGAAGAAATCGCAGGAAGGAGAGTGGATAATGCCGGCTACAATCAATGCTTCTTTATTGAGTTTGATAACCAAAATTATCCAAGAGCTGTTGAAATTAGGGAGCCTGATTCCCCAATTTACGACCCTATGGATTTTCAAGGTGATGAGATTGACGATGTCTTTCCAGTGGGGCAGATTCCGGAGGATCCAATGAGCCCTTGGGAAGGTGAGCAGCAAGTGGATATTGGGGAAGAGGACCAATTGGACTTCAGGAGCATTGAAGCACAACAGGAGCAACAAGTTCAACCTCAACCAAGAAGTGAACAATTGGAAGTTGAGATTACTGGAAGCAGAGATCTACAATTAGCAGCACCAGTAGAAACTATGTCAGATGGCGCTATCATCTTCACAAGATGGGGGGAGAGAAATAGAAGAGGAAGATTGGTGAGAAGCAGAAGATTTAAGAGGAGGAAAGAAAAGAGGCGATTCAAGCAAGAAAATTGCCCTTTGAAGAGGAAAGCAATTTCTGACCTAGACTTGGTTTTGATCCAATTTATAGATGAAGTGGAGGATGATGCTGATTCGTTACTGACGAGGAAAAAGAAAAAAGGGAAAAGTATAGCATCAGGAGCAGGGCCTTCCACTTCATGTTCTAGGCCTGGGCTAGCTAGCAAATTTGAGTTCGAGGCTAATGTTGTCTTACGTTTTGCAGATGATGGGCTTGCGCTGGTTGACCCAAATCAACCACCTCTTCATCAGTGATCGACCTTATTTGGAATTGTCGGGGCATTAAAAGCCCAACAACCCCGATAATTCCCAAGCTTAAAAGACTTGTTGGGTCTTTTGATCCGGACTTCATTTTTCTTTCGGAAACTAAGAGTAGTCCGGAATTAGTTTACAATCGTCTTAGGGGTCTAGGTTTTAGTTTCTTTAAAGGTGTCAACCCGATAGGGTTAAGTGGTGGTCTTTGGTTAGGTTGGAAGAAAAAGAATTTGCTAGAGGTAGTTTTTGCTTGTATCAATTTCCTTGTAGTCGATGTTAATGACGTGATGAATGGTAATTGGAGATTGATTTTGGTGTATGGGGAACCTTGTACCTCCCTCAGGAAGGATGTTTGGGATTGTCTTAGTCTTTGGAAAAAACCCCAACTTAATCTTTCAATTGCTATTGTTGGCGATTTCAATCAAGTAGACTCAAATTTGGACAAAACAAGAGCTAATTCCACTAATATTAGGGGAGGTAACTTTTTTAATGAGGGGAAAGAATCAAATGGCCTTCATGACTTAATCTTTAAAGGGCCAAAATATACTTGGTCAAATGGGAGGGAGGGTGAAGACTTAGTGCTAGAAAGACTCGACAAAGGATATGCAAACTCAATCTGGCATACTACCTTTCCCCACGCAATCATCAAGCACCAGCCAATCCAAATTTCAGACCATGCCCCAATTTTACTCCAAACAACTCCTTTAATTAAGAAGAAAAGAAGTGTTTATAAATTAGAACAATGGAGTTTAAATTACAGTGAATGTATAAATAGCTTGAATTTGCATCAGCTCACCAATGTTCAGGCTCGTCAAGAAAACTAAAAAGGCAAAGCAGGAAATCAAAAGATGGGCTTTGGACAAAAGAGAAGAATGGAATGGAGAGTGGGATAAATTTGAGAAAGACACGACTGTTACTAGAAAATGAAGGCAAGGTGGAGGACTTTAAACAAGTGAGTAAACAATTACAGGAGTATTCGTAAAATATGGCTACATGTTGGAGACAAAGAGCAAAAATCAATTGGGATTACGCAGGTGACACTTGCTCAAGGTTCTTTTTTAATTTTGTCAAAGGCAGAAAAGCTAGAAATAAATTGGAAGCCATTAAGGACGAGCAGGGGGACTGGATCACAGAGGAGCAGGACATTGCTCAGGTGGCGGGAAATATTTCAAGAATTTATATGGGTGCAGCTCAGCAGATTACTTACAATACTAGGGAGATGGAGATCGATCAGGTAACGAAAGCCATCAAAAATACACTCACAGAGGATTAAAGAGATGTACTCTCCAAACCGTACACGAGAAGAGAGATCAAGGACGCACTATTTGCCATGAAACCATGGAAAGCCCCAGGTCCAGACGGAATCCCTGCTGGGTTCTACCAAAAGAACTGGAATTGGGTGCAAGATGATGTTACTGAGGCTGTGCTTTCGTGTCTCAAATCAGGTAATATTCTACGAGAATTAAACTATACGAACATTGCCTTGATTCCAAAGTGTGACAATCCAGATTCAATGGATAAAATAAGACCTATTGGCCTATGCAATGTTGTTTACAAAATAATTTCTAAATGCATCACAAATATATTAAGGAAAGTGATAGGTGGCCTAGTGAGCCAATTCCAAAATGCCTTTGTTCCGGGGAGAGCAATTTCAGATAATATTCTTCTTGCTCATGAATTGTTAGAAAATATAAGGAAAACAAAAAAAGGTGCGAAAAGGAAGCTTGCCATAAAGACAGATATGAGCAAAGCCTACGATAGGATCAAGTGGGACTTCCTTGAACAAGTGTTGTGCAAGTTTGGTGTGCCTGATCTAATGGTAAGAACTATTATGAGATGTATTAAATCAATGTCTTTCTCTGTGATTATTAATGGCTCACCCAGGGAAAAATTCACTCCTAAATGTGGCCTTAGGCAAGGAGATCCCCTCTCCCCGTATCTTTTCATCCTTTGTATGGAATGTCTCTCCAGGATGATTAGAAATGAGGAAGACAAAGGTAATATAAATGGGATAAATGTTGCTCGTAATGCTCCT